TATACTGAATGTGTCAAATCGATTAATCGCATCTAGAAGTTTGTGCTTATAAAATGTGTACACATATAATATATAAATTAGGGCTGTCAAATGATTAATCACGATTAATCGCATCCAAAATAAAAGTTTGTGTTTACATAATATATGTGGGTGCACTGTGTATAATTATTTTATATATATATAAATACACACACATGCATGCATGTTTAAGAAATATTTTAATGTATATACTGTATATGGATTTATATACAATTTGTATTATATTTAAATATAAATATTTTATATATAAATAATATTTTTTTCTTAAATATACATGCATGTGTGTGTATTTAAATAATTATACACAGTGCACCCACATATATTATGTAAACACAAACTTTTATTTTGGATGCGATTAATCGCGATTAATCATTTGACAGCCCTAATATAAATATAATATATATATATTATATATTTATATACACACACATATATTATATAAACAATCTTTTATGTTAGATGCGATTAATTGATTTGACAGCACTGTGTATATGTGTGCGTATGTGTATATATATATATTAAAATGCATAAAATTGCTGCATGTGACCGAGCGGAAGCTGCCGTAGGTGTGTTTTCCAGTCGAGTCTTAAAAGAGAGGGTGCGAGTCGATGACCTGTCGGAAAGAATAAAGCCCAAGCAGAGCGATTCTTCACAGACAGAGCTCAAAACACGACACACACCGGCCTTCAGTCAAACTTCACATGTAAAACACTCGTGTAACCAAAACCTGCTCAACTCTGCTCCGCGGAGTGTGAAGCTGTCAGGATGTGACCTCTCCATCGCAGCCGTGTCACGAAGGCCCACCTACATAGACACACACACACACACACACACCTGTCGGAGCCAATAACAGCCCCCCATTCACTTCTTCAGCTCTGAAACCCCAGGTCAAGGATTGTCTTTAAATAGGAGACACCTGCCTGTTGTGTCCATAGCTCAACTGTCTGTGATCTCACTCTACTTTCTAAATCTGTGTGTTATTTACGGCACTGCAAGCACATCAGATGTTTGAGCGCAGCGGAGAGACACGACACAGGTCGAAGGTCAAGGTCACGAGGAGCGGGGCATCTTCCCTGAACGCCACAGCCACAGAATCCGTGTTTAAAAGCCTGTTCGAAAGATTTACATTCCAGATTTCACTGTTAACATGGCAATTAAAATAACATCTGGTAACACTTTACAATGTTCATTAATAACACAAACAAACATTAAAAAGTGCTGTTTTCACAGTGGGTTTCTGGCTACAGCTGCCAGGTCTTTACTGTAAATTTTTCCAGTGTACATTCAGCTTTGAAGCATCCGGTCCTCTGGTCACTGTATCAATCAAAATGTTACAACCTCGAAAGAATCTCAAGGACAGTGTTTCAGGATTTTAGGGAGTACTTTGGGTTGCAAAGTCATAATTAAAATCTTTTAACCCAGGATTTCTTTCTTTTTTGTTGTTGTTGCATGTTCTACACGATCTACAGTAAACCAGCAGGAAAATGCCACCGTAAGAGTCACAGTAATGTACTAACATTTTAAAACATGTGGGCAAACTGGTTTTAGAATAAAATGTTTTTCTTTTTCTGACAAAAACTGCCATTCAAAAGTCTTGCAAATTCAAATAAATGCTGTTCTTTTTAAATTTTTTTTTTTTTTTTTGGTGGTTTTCAACATTGACTTTTTTTTCTCAACATTAATAATAATCAGAAATGTTTCTTGAGCATCAAATAGAGTGAGTTCTGGAGGATCATGTGACACTGAAGACTGGAGTAATGATGCTGGAAATTCAGCTTTGATCACAGGAATAAATTACACTACAATATATTCAAGTAGAAAATATTTAATTACAACCGTTATTCTAAGCTGTAATAATATTCACAATATTACTGTTTTTTTTTATCATATAAATGCAGTCTTGGTGAGCAGAAGAGACTTCTTTCAAAAAACGAAACAAAAAAATCTAGACAACACCAAACTTATGATCGGTAATGTAAATTATTCATAAAACACTGATGTTGGTTACATTTTATGGATAAGAGTTAATAAATTCTAATAATGCAATTATTCATATACTGAATTTACATAAGTTAATAAATTAAAAAATACATTAAAGAATGACCTTTTGTGTTAGAAAAATAAACACATACAAATAAATAATAAAAGAAGAAAAAAATTGAAAATCAATTATCAGTGGCCAATGCTGCCTCTAAACATAAAAGCTCATTTCTGCCACTGACCCAGAGTAATCCTCTGTAACTGCTGGTTCAATACTGGATGTATTACATAAAGTTACTACATGAAGTTATGGTTATTAAATCAGGATATGATTCGGAGTTAGGATGTTTGTCATACAGCCATGCTGAAAGTGTCTTTAGATTCAAAGCCTCCGTTAAATGACTACAGCCTGACAGAAAGAAAACCAGCCGGTGAACACACAGAATGAAGAGTAAACACACAGCAGAGCAGTCAAACCCACATCTGATGAACCACACATGAAAAACTATATCTCATTCTGTACGTCGCTACACGATTCTCAATCGCCTTGAGCAGAACTTCATGCCAGAGGAAGACTGACACAAATAAAGGAAAGCGGTGGATTCTGCTCTATTCAGATTGTCTGGAGGAGTGTTGCGAGACGGGAACGACACTGATCTCGGAAAACGTACAGAGGGATTTCCAGGAACGGCGTCTGAAAGAAAGGACTCTTAAAGGGATAGTTCACTTTGAAATTAATTTTTGGTATGTTTTAGCTTACCTCAAGGGCATCCAAGATGTAGGTGTCTTTGTTTCCGCAGTAGTTTCAATTTTGATATTTTTAGGTCAAACCGTTCTTGTCTGTCAGTCATATAATGCAGGTCTATGGTCACCACCTCAAAGAGCATGACCAGAGAAGTCCAGATTAAACATGATTTAATGACTCGTAAATGTAAGTACACATTGATGGCCTAAGACACGAAACAAGCGGTTTGTGTGAGAAAACGAACAGTAATTATATCGTTTTTACCTCTTGTAACCACAGCCACGTCCAAGTGATCTGAGGGCGCGGGCGCTTCGGTCTGTGCGTTACAATGTGTTCAATGTGTACTTACATTTACGAGTCATTAAATCATGTTTAATTTGGACTTCTCTGTGCATGCTCTTTGAGGTGGTGACCATAGACCTGCATTATATGACTGACAGACAAGAACGGTTTGACCTAAAAATATCAAAATTGAAACTACTGCGGAAACAAAGACACCTACCGCTTGGATGCCCTTGAGGTAAGCTAAAACATACCAAAAATTAATTTCAAAGTGAACTATCCCTTTAAAAAATTCCCAATACTTCCATTAACCTTTAGGCACAAGGACCCTGAAACCCGTCCGCACGCGTGAGTCATGAGAACACATAAACACAACTGTTTGTTTGAACAAAGCAGGTTGATCAGGTGGAAGTTTAAATGCTAACCATGAGCTGTCCATAAACATGTGCTGATGTTTTCCAATCATAACAGTAGAAAGAACACAAGTACAGGCAGCGTGCCAAGATATATCCCGGCTAACAGGGAACATTCTGGCAACTTATGAACAAACGTTCTTCCACTAACATTAATACAATGTTTGTTCCAAGTCATTTAATAACGTTCTCAAAACGTTAGCACAAATACATCATTAATGAAACGGTTTTCCCTGAAATGTTTCGTCTTGCATTTTTTTAAATGTTACTGCTTGTTTGAGAATGTTCCAAGAACATTCAAAAGTAACATTCCCATCATGCTTGAAGAATGATCAAATGGAATGTTCCCTTAAAGTTTGCGTAACCAAGGAACGTTTTCTAAACATTTTAAAAAAACGGCATGTTTTGAACGTTCCGAGAACATTCAGAAAGAACTTTCTTAGAACATTGGATAGTCAATCAGTGGCAGAGCTTGGCTTTTCAATATGTTCAATATGAGTGACAGTGCCGATCCACTTTTTCAGCAGCCTCGGTTACAAAGGGTTTTTTAAAGGAGCTGTATGTAAGATTGTGGCCAAAACTGGTACTGCAATCACTTTCAAATTACTGTAGAGCGGTGTATCCCCTCCCCCTCCCCCCTGACTCGAGGTTGCCAGATAGACTGCAGGATCCAGCAGGAATTTATCCAACACGTTTGTAGCTGCAGCTGTGGTAACTAGAGCAGAGCTGGCAACCCGGATGCCGCAACACTACTGACTTCGTGATTGGTAGATAGGTGGAGGGTGGGGCTTCAGACCAAAACACAACATGACAACATCAACATCAGTTGAGGGCTGCAACTTCGATTTATAAATGACAATATCCTGGCCGGACTACTGTTGTCAGTGATATAAGTATTTGAAATGAACATGATTTCTTAATGTCTAGTGACATATCAGGGCCTTTTTATGATTAATTGAAATACATTTCTTACATACAGCTCCTTTAAGTCTTTGTTAGAGTTATAAGCCATGAATGAGAACATAACGGCTTAAATGAGGGAAAGAACTATAATTCCTTTATACACACACTCATCACTTTCAGTGCTTACTGGGAGTGGGCGGCACTAAAGAGTTCTTGGTGCAATTAGTTTGTTTCGATTCTCTGATTGGTGGAGATTTCTGTGCAGAATCATGGGTACTGTAGTTTTCAACAGGAATTCCACTGTTAAATGTGTTTATTTAATGTGATTAATAATGCAGGCTGATAGTTTTAACACCCTAGCTTACAGTAGGTCTGTTCAAAAGTAATTCCCCTGTTGATGTTTCTCCCAGACCCGGTCTGTTGCACGCTAGTACAGTATGTGTAATAAGATTCATTTATTTCGAAAAACCTGAAGGCTACATGCCATTCTTTTAAATTGAATTATTAAAATATTTATTGTATAGGTTCAGTTGTATCATTATTGGTATCGAGAATCGTGAAATTTGACTGACACGTCACCCACTAAATGCGTTATCACACAGTCAGCGATTGAAATGAAAAGCCCTTTTCAGACTGAATGTATAAATATTGACAATATTTTAATCTGGTCTCATGATCTGGTTACACACGGAGAGTGATATACATGTGGAAAGTGCAGGAAACAAGTGAACACTGATTTGTTTAAATGGCACACATCAGAAGAGCAGCAGAAACTCATTAGGTGACAATCATTTGTTGTGTAGTTGTGCACTGTGGTGATGTGCATAGCCTGAGATTGAAGAGAACAGAACAGTATCAAAGCATTAAAGTTGTCTTGGCTTAAAAAATAAAGCATCTTAAATGACGGTGATTAAAATACTGTCTAAAATAAATACTGAATCCGGTTCACAGCGGCTGCTGTGGAGTCAAAGCCAGGAGAAAGCAGCACGTTTCCAGTCTTTGTCGGATAGCTATAGCGCGTAGGGACAGACTCTGGTCTACGAGGCATCCTAAAATCAAGCGTCACCATGATTGAGGTGAGGTTGCCATGGATACCGTTCCAGCATATGATGTGAGGTCACTTCCTCCGGCTCACATTAGTGAGAGTCCGTCAGCTGGGATGGCCGTCACCACTTTGATACGGTGATTAATGCCATCTGTCAGCTGTATGATGGGGATGTAACGTCAGATCCCATTGGTCAGGTCCTGAATAACACCCCCCATCACCAGCTTCCGGAGAAACTCCTTCTCTTTGGATATGTTGTGTGTCCATGACTGGGTGTGTGTGAGAGAAAAAGAGAAACAGAAAGAGCACAATGGAGCAAACGGTCATCAAGAGTTTGTCACGTGCTGCGCTCAATGGAGACATGACGTCTGCACATGCAGCTTTGCTTTTGTTTTCACAACCCACAAAAGAAGTTTGGACGGTCCACCTCCAGTAAACATGTAAAACAACAGTCTGTCATACTACACAACAATCACAATGAAATATGGTGCCATCATCTGATTTCTGCAATTTTTTTTTTTTTTTTTGTAATTTAAGCTGAATCATCCATGTTTACTTTTGTTAAGATATATAATGTACATGCTAAATAAACAATGAAAAAATATATATACACAAGTCAACAATGACAATAGAGTAGACCTGAAATAGAGCTGGTTTCACACAAAATGGGTGTGTTCACTTAAAATCCAATATTTGCAAAAAAACAAACAATGCATTTTCTACATATTTTCTTTTTGCTTCTGGCTTCTTGCGATGCCACTGAAAATCAAATCTTGTACATGCATGTCTTGCAAACTTAAACATCATATGCCATCATTGTCTGGCAAAAGTGTCTATGAATTTATTATGAGTTAATGATCAAGTTACAATACAGCTGTATAATTTCCAGCTTGTTGCAGCTAATTTTTTGTGTGTTTAATAAATAAAATAATTTTAGTGAATAAACCACATTTTGTGAAGAATAATTAACATTTATTTGAATATATTTCTGTCATGAATGTTTGGCATGGTAATGGACATGACAATGTTGATATTTTTGAATGAACACGAATAGATCTGAAAAGATCTGCTACGCTGATGCTGTTATTGCTGCTACTGATGCTGTTATTGCTGCTACTGATGCTGTTATTGCTGCTACTGATGCTGTTATTGCTGCTGCAGATGCTGTTATTGCTGCTACTGATGCTGTTATTGCAGCTACTGATGCTGTTATTGCTGCTGCAGATGCTGTTATTGCTGCTACTGATGCTGTTATTGCAGTTATTGCTGCTACTGATGCTGTTATTGCTGCTACTGATGCTGTTATTGCAGTTATTGCTGCTACTGATGCTGTTATTGCTGCTACTGATGCTGTTATTGCTGCTACTGATGCTGTTATTGCTGCTACTGATGCTGTTATTGCAGTTATTGCTGCTACTGATGCTGTTATTGCTGCTACTGATGCTGTTATTGCTGCTACTGATGCTGTTATTGCTGCTGCAGATGCTGTTATTGCTGCTACTGATGCTGTTATTGCTGCTACTGATGCTGTTATTGCAGTTATTGCTGCTACTGATGCTGTTATTGCTGCTACTGATGCTGTTATTGCTGCTACTGATGCTGTTATTGCTGCTACTGATGCTGTTATTGCAGTTATTGCTGCTACTGATGCTGTTATTGCTGCTACTGATGCTGTTATTGCTGCTACTGATGCTGTTATTGCTGCTGCAGATGCTGTTATTGCTGCTACTGATGCTGTTATTGCTGCTACTGATGCTGTTATTGCTGCTACTGATGCTGTTATTGCTGCTGCAGATGCTGTTATTGCTGCTACTGATGCTGTTATTGCAGCTACTGATGCTGTTATTGCAGCTACTGATGCTGTTATTGCAGCTACTGATGCTGTTATAGCTGCTGCAGATGCTGTTATTGCTGCTACTGATGCTGTTATTGCTGCTACTGATGCTGTTATTGCTGCTGCAGATGCTGTTATTGCTGCTACTGATGCTGTTATTGCTGCTACTGATGCTGTTATTGCTGCTGCAGATGCTGTTATTGCTGCTACTGATGCTGTTATTGCAGCTACTGATGCTGTTATTGCAGCTACTGATGCTGTTATTGCTGCTACTGATGCTGTTATTGCTGCTGCAGATGCTGTTATTGCTGCTGCAGATGCTGTTATTGCTGCTACTGATGCTGTTATTGCTGCTGCAGATGCTGTTATTGCTGCTGCAGATGCTGTTATTGCTGCTGCAGATGCTGTTATTGCTGCTACTGATGCTGTTATTGCTGCTACTGATGCTGTTATTGCAGCTACTGATGCTGTTATAGCTGCTGCAGATGCTGTTATTGCTGCTACTGATGCTGTTATTGCTGCTGCAGATGCTGTTATTGCTGCTACTGATGCTGTTATTGCTGCTACTGATGCTGTTATTGCTGCTACTGATGTTGTTATTGCTGCTACTGATGCTGTTATTACTGCTACTGATGTTGTTATTGCTGCTACTGATGCTGTTATTGCTGCTGCAGATGCTGTTATTGCTGCTGCAGATGCTGTTATTGCTGCTGCAGATGCTGTTATTGCTGCTGCAGATGCTGTTATTGCTGCTACTGATGCTGTTATTGCTGCTGCAGATGCTGTTATTGCTGCTGCAGATGCTGTTATTGCTGCTACTGATGCTGTTATTGCTGCTACTGATGCTGTTATTGCAGCTACTGATGCTGTTATAGCTGCTGCAGATGCTGTTATTGCTGCTACTGATGCTGTTATTTGCTGCTGCAGATGCTGTTATTGCTGCTGCAGATGCTGTTATTGCTGCTACTGATGCTGTTATTGCTGCTACTGATGCTGTTATTGCTGCTACTGATGTTGTTATTGCTGCTACTGATGCTGTTATTACTGCTACTGATGTTGTTATTGCTGCTACTGATGCTGTTATTGCTGCTGCAGATGCTGTTATTGCTGCTACTGATGCTGTTATTGCTGCTACTGATGCTGTTATTGCTGCTGCAGATGCTGTTATTGCTGCTACTGATGCTGTTATTGCTGCTGCAGATGCTGTTATTACTGCTACTGATGCTGTTATTGCTGCTGCAGATGCTGTTATTGCTGCTACTGATGCTGTTATAGCTGCTACTGATGCTGTTATTGCTGCTACTGATGCTGTTATTGCTGCTACTGATGCTGTTATTGCTGCTGCAGATGCTGTTATTGCTGCTACTGATGCTGTTATTGCTGCTACTGATGCTGTTATTGCTGCTGCAGATGCTGTTATTGCTGCTACTGATGCTGTTATTGCTGCTACTGATGCGGTTATTGCTGCTGCAGATGCTGTTATAGCTGCTACTGATGCTGTTATTGCTGCTACTGATGCTGTTATTGCTGCTGCAGATGCGGTTATTGCTGCTGCAGATGCTGTTATTGCTGCTGCAGATGCTGTTATTGCTGCTACTGATGCTGTTATTGCTGCTACTGATGCTGTTATTGCTGCTGCAGATGCTGTTATTACTGCTACTGATGCTGTTATTGCTGCTGCAGATGCTGTTATTGCTGCTACTGATGCTGTTATTGCTGCTACTGATGCTGTTATTGCTGCTGCAGATGCGGTTATTGCTGCTGCAGATGCTGTTATTGCTGCTACTGATGCTGTTATTGCTGCTACTGATGCTGTTATTGCTGCTGTAGATGCTGTTATTACTGCTACTGATGTTGTTATTGCTGCTACTGATGCTGTTATTGCTGCTACTGATGCTGTTATTGCTGCTGCAGATGCTGTTATTGCTGCTACTGATGCTGTTATTGCTGCTACTGATGCTGTTATTGCTGCTACTGATGCTGTTATTGCTGCTACTGATGTTGTTATTGCTGCTACTGATGCTGTTATTACTGCTACTGATGTTGTTATTGCTGCTACTGATGCTGTTATTGCTGCTGCAGATGCTGTTATTGCTGCTGCAGATGCTGTTATTGCTGCTACTGATGCTGTTATTGCTGCTACTGATGCTGTTATTGCTGCTACTGATGCTGTTATTGCTGCTACTGATGCGGTTATTGCTGCTGCAGATGCTGTTATAGCTGCTACTGATGCTGTTATAGCTGCTACTGATGCGGTTATTGCTGCTACTGATGCTGTTATTGCTGCTACTGATGCTGTTATTGCAGTTATTGCTGCTGCAGATGCTGTTATAGCTGCTGCAGATGCTGTTATTGCTGCTACTGATGCTGTTATTGCTGCTACTGATGCTGTTATTGCTGCTGCAGATGCTGTTATTGCTGCTACTGATGCTGTTATTGCTGCTACTGATGCTGTTATTGCAGTTATTGCTGCTGCAGATGCTGTTATTGCTGCTACTGATGCTGTTATTGCTGCTACTGATGCTGTTATTGCTGCTACTGATGCTGTTATTGCTGCTACTGATGCTGTTATTGCTGCTGCAGATGCTGTTATTGCTGCTACTGATGCTGTTATTACTGCTACTGATGTTGTTATTGCTGCTACTGATGCTGTTATTGCTGCTGCAGATGCTGTTATTGCTGCTGCAGATGCTGTTATTGCTGCTACTGATGCTGTTATTGCTGCTACTGATGCTGTTATTGCTGCTACTGATGCGGTTATTGCTGCTGCAGATGCTGTTATAGCTGCTACTGATGCTGTTATTGCTGCTACTGATGCTGTTATTGCTGCTGCAGATGCGGTTATTGCTGCTACTGATGCTGTTATTGCTGCTACTGATGCTGTTATTGCAGTTATTGCTGCTGCAGATGCTGTTATTGCTGCTGCAGATGCTGTTATAGCTGCTACTGATGCTGTTATTGCTGCTGCAGATGCTGTTATTGCTGCTGCAGATGCTGTTATTGCTGCTACTGATGCTGTTATTGCTGCTGCAGATGCTGTTATTGCTGCTACTGATGCTGTTATTGCTGCTGCAGATGCTGTTATAGCTGCTACTGATGCTGTTATTGCTGCTACTGATGCTGTTATTGCTGCTACTGATGCTGTTATTGCTGCTGCAGATGCGGTTATTGCTGCTACTGATGCTGTTATTGCTGCTGCAGATGCTGTTATTGCTGCTGCAGATGCGGTTATTGCTGCTACTGATGCTGTTATTGCTGCTACTGATGCGGTTATTGAGAATGATGTGATTGAAAGCAGATTGTGTTTCATGACAGAGCTTTGTACATATATTTTTTTTTTTAGCAAAAACATAAAATAAAAAAATAGGTTGCTATCAATAAAAACGGACGATTCTTTTGTGATGGGGCAAGTAAAACTACAGGCCTGGACTAGCAGAAATCCTTATTGTTGATTGCTGGTTAGTTTAATATAGTATCTGACTACTCCACTTTATGAATAGCTTGGCAAGCAACACTATCAATCAACAGTGAAACTGCAGAGAACACGCACAAGCTCGACCTGCCAATGCTGGCTCATTACTCTAACCTCTCGGGTTTCTGCATTTTCCTGGAACAGAGAGCAGCGGCAGCCGTGAGGTCATGTGACCCGTTTGTGGATGTGACCCAACGGACGGGATATTCCCAAAGACCATCGACCAGACACATTACTCTACTCTTCTTAGATACCAAAGCTAGTACATTTTTGTTAACTATGACAAGACAGGTGTCAGAAATTCACCAGGGTTAAAGGTAAAAATGCCTCTGGAAGTGACAAAAATCTATTGGGAAAATGTTTCTTTTTTTATGTTAGAGTTGAAAGGTAAACTTTTTCCTAAATATCAATTTCAAATATTGCTCTTTAATACGAGTAGTAAAGCGGCGAGCAATCATTACGAACGGGTCAGTGCGGTGCCGTTACCTCTTTGATTGCAGACATCTTTAGCTTCTCGTAATAGTGCAGAGGTGCACGAGGTGAATCCATGTCATATCCGAATCCGGCCACCGCCACCTCGTCGCAGTTATGGAGGGCCATTGTGATTGCAACAGTCCCCAGTGTAGGAATATTCTGAAAAAAATGAAACACTTTTAGTATTACAAGTTGATTAGTATTTAGGGAAGTACTCAGTAGTCATACATGTACTTGTGTATGTAGGCAAAGATACCTTTATAGAAAATGACTCAAGTTAAAAACACATTAAGATAAAGAGGTTTTTTGAGACTGAACTGGCACTAAAATGATCAACTCAGATTAAGTAAGTGAATGAATGCGTGAGTGTATAAGTGAATGTTTCAGAAAACCCATTTTCTAAATGACCAAATTTCACTCAAAAAAATTGCACAAATAAAAATTTATTAATTGAACGTGTCTGGCTTCGGCCTCATCCGCTTCCAGTTATTTTTAGCTGTACAAAACAGCTTGTTGTGCTGCTTGATATTGCAAACTGGTATTTCTTACCATATTATTTTAATGTATTGTCATAATTATTAAAGCATTATTCTTCTAGTTATTTACCTATAGAGGCTAATGAATCAGAAGTCTTGTTCATTCACAGAAAATAGCTTACTTACATGTTGCAAAATAAGGTGGATAACTTGCAACTATATTGTTGGTGCAAAAGTAATGCATCAGAGTAAAATAATTCAGCTGCAAAATGTCTAAGTAACCAGGTAAACCATCAGACATTTATACTCAAGTAGTCATTTTCTATTAATGATGAAACAATCAAGTTTTTATTCATTACTATACATTGTAAGATTAAATGCATGACTGAACATGGATGTGCAACACTGAACAGCCATGGATGGACTGAATGCTACCGTTGAGTGCACTGCTCACACACTTCAGTGCAGATAATGCAGCGTGTGACTGACTTTATCAGAGACACAGAGAGAGCAGGAGATGTGTGTGTGTGTGTGTGTGTTTATCAGCAGAGAAGGATCATCCAGTCACCACCGGATCCATCGGGGAGACGAGTGTCATGGTGAAAGTCTTATCACCACAGTGAGACACTCTCTAGGCTAATCCTGCTCCAGACACTCCGCCTGCATGCTGATAACAGGAAACGCATCACAGCTCGAGCCCCTCAAACACTCGTCTCCATGACAGCAGAGGATAAACAGACCCTGGATCAGGCGGGTCTCATATAGTCAGGGCGGGGCCGAGAGCCTTGTACTTTTTATTATATGGCTTTTTTTTATTATGCTTGAATGCCGCAGTCGACCACTGCCGCTCCTTTCGTTTTGTTGCTTATGTTTATCTTCCCATTAAAGTTACGTTTATTGGGTCTCATTCATGAAACACGAGCAGAACCAATTTTTGTGTGAATCGTGTGTAAAGTGGTTCTGGCGTAAATTTTCGGATTCATTAAAATGTTGGTATTTTCCAAATGTTAGTTGGTAGGAAAGAAATCTACACCTGCTCCAGCCACGCGTAAATAGTGCGCTTAACATCCGAACGTTTTGCTCATTAATAACTAACGCTGCATTTTAATTCCCCTTAATCGGGTACATATTTACACAGCATTTTGAACAAATATTATATATAGTAATTACATACTTTTTTTCTTTTTACTTCTTGGACTGTTTGATTAACAGATGAAACTCCAGTAACTGCATCTGTAATACGCTGCCAAGCTTGCTTTTCTTTAGGACCTGATACGCCACTATGTAGCCTACGCTTGAACATAAAATGTGGTGTTTTGAATGAACTTCTGATAATAAAACTTCGATTTCTGCATCTGAGAAATTTTTTTTTCATTCGCTTTTGAGAAGACATGTTGAAATCCTTCGTTTGGTGTCATAATATGATGCCCATATATAGTTGTCAGTCGGATTTAATGGGCGGGATTTATGGTAATTGAGAATGAGCGTGCACGCGCGTCCCATTTACGACTGATTGTAATTCATTAACACACACACACACACACATTTCACTATCACATCTGACGTTTACGAAGAATTTGTGAATCAGGAGATGAGTTTTCGGGAAGGTCTCTTTACGCGCAAATCACTCTCATATTTACTCGTATATTTACGAATGTTTCATGAATGAGACCCCATGTCCGCCTCCTCCTTCCCTGAACTTTGTAAAGTTACGAATGATCACTTAAAATCTCATTATTTGGACCACTTTCTCTGGTTTTACTTGGTTAAAACAATCATTCAAAAACGTTACTCTGTTGGTACGAGACACTTGTTGCACGTTGCAGTAAGCTAGATTTATATTAGACATTTACCAGCCCATAGACCCTAGCCTCGAAGAAATCAGGACAGAAGTGGTTGAAAGTGGACAATAGAGACGGATTGAAACACCAGGTGTAAACGGAGATGTGTCTCCCTCGTCTACTCGTGATCCGATCGACCAAAACACATCTTAATACCAGGAGTGAACAGTGCCTTAACTTAATGCCCTCTCTTGGGACGTATTGCAGACTCTGCTCTGGCTGTGCGAGTTCATGTGTTTTAGAGGTGGCGTGGCTTTGGTGAGCTCATGCTTTCATAGCTATCTTGCTATTGCCCTTAACATTAATAGCAATGAATGCTGGGTTTCTCACAAATCGACTGCTTAAATGATTATTGCGTTTGCGCCTCACCCCTCTTCCCATGAGGCCTTTGTTATGTGGAAGACCGATGAATCTGAAGGCCGCTTCCTGGATGAAATACGGGTTCAGGATCCGCATGTCTTCTGGTTCTCTGGGAACGATACGTGCCACGGACTTCCAGAATCCCTCCATACTCCG